AGGTCTGTGGCTCTTTCTAAGGCAGCCAGAGAGGCTTCCACCTCTCCTTGCCCCATGGGTGCATGTGCCCAACTCAAGGAACAGTCTCATTTTCTAGCCCTGCATGTCAGTGCCCTGTGGCCTTTGCTGGCAGCAGAACTCTCCCTGTGGAGGGGTTGGCAATAGGCATGTCCATTCAAGCTGCATCTGTCCTGTAAAGCAGGTCTTCCTTTTGCCCATTTTCCAGGCAGAAAACCAAAGCTCCGTGATTCCCAAGATCAACATCCAGTATGGGAGCTAGGATTTAAGTCAAGCTACCATGGTTGTCTGAGTCCTTTCTTTACTCAGCATATATATAATTTAAAAAATGATATGAGGTTCTTGAGGTAGGAAGGGACAAGTCAAATCCACAGTTCCGTGGTGCTGAGCACAAAGGTGGTTTCCCAGGGTGCAAGTTTAGCTGAGCTGGAAGACACTTTCAGAATTCCCTCTCCTACACAATAATGAATTAGGGTCACTCAAAAGCCACCGTGCTATCTGTGAGAGATTGAGGTGGGGTGGGCTTGAGTGGTCAGCCACGGACCTCTGGGTTCCCTTGCGGCCAGAGTTCCCTCTGCTCCCCTGCACCTCCTCCTCCAGCCTCGGTGCTCTGTGATGAACTGTGTGCTATTCTGCAGGGGGCCACATCCTCCATGCAGGTAAGTAGGGTGGGCTCCGGCTCTTCCTTCCTGGCCACCCCTTCCATTTTGACCTTGCTTCCCTGCTGACTAGGGCCTTGTGCCAGCCACTAACAGGTCACCCCAGCTCCCATCACTACACAAAGTCTCTCCTCAAAAACCACTAAGTGTCACTCAGCAGTACTCTGCAGATCCCCCACTCAACATTATGGAGAAAGAGTTCAACGGAACTTGGATGAATGAGTAAAGGAGTGGTTGGCTATGTTGACTGTTTTAAGCTTAACATTTCAGAAAAACTAAAACTAGTTTTTAGTTGATCTTATTTTTTCCAACCTTTGCTAACAGACAAATTATTCACGTCTACTACAACAGATGGGCCCCTGTGTTCACAGTGTTTTAAAATAACAAAGATGGCTCACAGTGCAGTGACTACATTGCTTTCCAGTAAAGTGATTGGTGATAAAGGGTTGTGACTTTGTGCATGTACATGATTTGTCTTTATTTTAGGAAAACTGCACACCCTTATCCACACCACTCTGAGGGGGTTGGGGTCATGCAGGCATTTATCATGTACACCGGGCCAGGGGGAATGTGCAGTAGAGGATTGGCTAGCTGGGTGTCAACAGGTTCTATCAGGAAATCTAAGCTGAGGTTACATTCCAGTGAACAAGCAAGCCTGGAACTACAGAAAGTGCCCAACTACAGTCAGAGACTGGTGCTGCTACAGAGTCCAAATGGTGGAGAAACGGAAGATCTAAAGCATAGGTCTAATTTGATCATCCAAACACTAGACAACCAAGTGCAACACTCAGCATGCTGAGTGAAATCCTTCTACTGAGTTACCCTCATGGACTGGGGTCCCAGGCTACCTCCACTCTGACTGAGGAGAGCAAGAGCTGAAGAGCAGGGCAGGGCAGGGCAGGGGCCTGGACTGGCAGCCTGGTTTCCCATGCTGGACCTTTGGGTTCAGTCTTGGTTCCAAGTCCTGGCACTGCTGCCAGCTGTTTGATTGGGAGCAAGCTTCTCACCCTTTCTGCAGCTCTATGTCCTCTTCTGTCAAGGGGAGGCTCAACTAGCATGTCTGCCTGGGCCAGCATGACTATGCATAACATTCCATCTGCTTTGCCTTAACCATGGAAGCTGCACACCAGCATCTTCCAGATTTCAAAACCAAGCCACAACTTTCGCATCCCATAGCTAATCTTTTCCATCTTTTTAGACAAATCAAGTTTAATTTTTCAGTGTCTCTTTATAAGCTGGGTGTGGCTGTGAAACAGCTGTAATACTCTGAATGAGAGGCATGAGGATACAAGTTCAAGGTGAGCCTAGAAAATGTTGTAAGACCCTATCTTAAAAAGGGGGATGTGGGTTTAATCCCCATTGTCTGTCTGTCTGTCTCTCTCTCTGTCTCTGTCACACACACACACACACACACACACACACACACACACGCACGCACACACACGATCTGGAATAAAGTAAGCTCAAATTATTAAAGGTTTTAAAAAGTAATTCTACTATTTCTGAATTCATTCCCCTTCATGTTCAATCAGTTTCAGGTCTTGTGTAATTTGCAGCCAGCAAAGGATGAGAACCCAGAAGGCTGGGAGTCAAGAACATTTATGAGGGGCGTGTGCTGCCACGCCTCTGCTCCAAGTGCAGTCCTGACATTTGGGCAGATGCCTGACTTTAGCCAAGAGCCTCATCCAAGAACATTATGATCTCAACCCCTGCTGGTTGCATTCCAGGACCTGGACACCCCAGGAGCCTCCCAGGAGGCAGCAGGGGAGAGCAACACAACCTTCCCAACATCCGGACTTTTCCCAGATTGCAGCCTGGGGGATGAAGGAGGGAAAAAGAAGATTTAGGCCTTGGGCCACCATGGGTTTCTATCTAGTATGTACCATCCTAGAGCTCAGATAAACTTCTTTGAATTTCCATGTCTTTCAAGATTTAATAGGAATGACAATAGGATGCAGAAATTCAGTGCCCAGATGGTGGCACTTGGTCAAAGGCACTTATCACTTGTTCCATGGGATGTGGACAGATGCAGGCCAATAGAAAATATGGCAAGGTTTTGGGGTGCCTAGTGCCCTACCAAAGCTGCCCCACTTTTAGGCCTACAGATATTCTTGTTTGGAGGGTTGACAAGAATACAGCTGTACAAACAACATGCAAGGGAATGAAACCAACCAAAGAGTCTATGTGGTACCTTTTTATTTAGTCAGTCTTATTTAAACATGTGCTTCTGAAATAGTTTATTAAATATGACCTTTTCAAAATTCAATTCTCACACTATATACAGTGATCTTTGTGCAAACATATTTTGACTGTGAGCTCCCTGCTCCCTTTGTTGAGTTAATAATTTACAAACTGACATCACAACAAAATCCCAGCTACTTCACTTATTGGGTTGGAGACTATAATTTTCTTTTTTTTTTTTTTTTTGGTACCAGGGATCAAACTCAGAACCTTGAGTTGCCAGGCAGGTGCTTATGCTGCTGAGCTATCTCCCCTGCCCTTGGAGACTATAATTTTCCAACATGATAGGAATACAGCTAGAATAAGGGAAGGCTAAGAAAGAACTAATTCAAGCCCAGAGGAAATAATATGTTTATCAAAAAAGAATTACAACAAGGCCTTACTTTCTAGCAGGAAACGTGTCCCATGATGTTAGGGAATATTATTAAGCAACTAAATATACTTTCAATGATTATTTCACCTTCATTTAAAAATAGTTACACTCATCTCAATCAAATAAACCTAGAAAAGTCAAATTCGAAGGGACTCTGAACTGTCAGGAAATGTTATAAAGATCATCTTACTTCAGTGATTGAAAGTGCAGGGCACTGGGGCTGCCCGGCCCCGGCTGGCTGGCCTTGGCCGGGGCTGCTGCAGAAGGGGCAGCAGGTCCACACCACCTGCCTCAGAGCTTCGTGCTGGGCACAGAAACAACACCTGAGTCACAGCCAAGCAGGGACATTCCCACCAGTTCTTCAGTCTACAAAGGGGACTGATCCCAGAGAACACGTTTCTTTTTCCCTCTCTGGAAAGAAAAGTATCTGGTGGAAGGAAAAAGAAAGCACTCACATATAAAAACTGAGGGCATTAGGGGAAGTCGAAATTCATGGTGTAGTAAAAGAATTATAAAAATATAGATCACAATTATAATTTAATCTGTCTTCTTCTTTTTTTTTCTTTTTTGCTTTTTTAGATAGGGTTTCGCCATACAGTTCAAGCTGGCCTTGAACTCACTTTGTAGCCCAGGCTGGCCTCAAACTCACAGTGATCCTCCTGCTTAAGCCTCCTGAGTGTGGGGAGTATAGGTGTGTGCCACCATGCCCAGGTAGCAATTATAATTTTAATGTCTTATAGCTTTATTGGTATCTGAAAATAAACTGACTTTTTTGACATTTAGTTTCGGTTCCCATGTCTTTTAAAGGAACACAGTGAAACTCCTTAATTATTATAGTATGCAAGAAAGTATTAGGGACCACAATGTCTAGATTTTTTTATCTTATCACTGAAGACTTTGACTACAAGTTACAGAATAAAAGCTGATTAGAAAATAAACTGGAAAAATATATTTAGTCGCTTGGGAAGTTTTTCTTTCTTTTTTTTGGCGGAACTGGGGATTGAACTCAGGCCCTTGTGCTTGCCAGGGAAGCATTTATTCCACTGAGCCATCTCCCTGGCCCCCGCTTGGGAAGTTTTTCATGTACAAATCATTTCCTTTTCCATGGGCATTATCACACATGGATACAAATTCCTTACTATAACTCTCTGGACCTATGGTGTGAATAAGTGCGATCCCAGTGCAATGATTCCCACTCTAAAAACAGTCTTCACAAAGCATTCTTCCTATCACCAGTTATGAATAAAATATCCTGACATTACTGACCCTCTAGAGGCTAATGCGGGGCAGCAGTGACTCCCGGGAGCCATGTGCTTGCAGTTCTCTTGGGAGCAGGTCACACCCTCCAGGTCTACTGTGGCCCCACAGCCCTTGCCGAGCTACCCTGGTCCTGCTCAGGTGCTCCCACTGCAGTGAGCATGCCAGGGCCTGGTCAGGGATGGGGTGGGACATGTCCCACTGAGCAGAGGGAAGATAGGAGCTGCAATGACAGTCAGAGGGCACCAGACTGAGAGGAAGAGGACAGCACACCAACAGCACTACCCTTATCTTCTGTGACCTTTCAGTGCTTAGGGGACCTGACAAGGTGCAGGTAGCAAAGATTTGGAAGCTCACCGCTTTCCTTGGGGTCTCCCAAGGACTCAGAGGTGCATCTAAGCTCCTCCTACGCGGTGACCAAGGGCTCGGCTCAGCAAGTTACAACTGCTTTTATCAGCATGTAATACAACAGCTCTGATTTCACATAAATAATCAAACTTGATTAAAATGAATACATTATTATTCTAGGTTAATTTTCCACTTAAATGTTTATATTCCATCTACCTTGAGTAATTAATTGAGAATAACCAGGCGCCTCCAGAGACCTCACAAGAGCAGTGACTTTGAAACAACACTGTACAAACTGGGCTGAGGAGAAGAAAGGCCTATCGCCTGGCGGTGGTGTACTCATGGGGCTGTCTTCTTCAAGTCTCTGATCTGTTTAATCAAGTAGTTCTTCTCATCAGTGAACTGTTCATCATCTGTCCTGTCTTTTTGGAAGCTGCTGAGGAACTCGATGAGTTTGGGTTGATTTTTTAACAGAATCTCCACGATAGGCTGCGTTTTGTGAGGACTGGCCACAAACACCTGGAACATAAAAAGAAAAAAGGAAAAGTAAGAGGAGACCAACACTCAGCATCGCGGACCCCTGCTTGGGTTTCACAGGTCCTGCTCTGAGTACAGGGAAGCCCTGTTGAGGCTTCCTTACCCACCCATCGTCTCTCCAGGAGCACACCAGAGTCACCTGGGTACATTTTTTCCCCATAATTTTATTGAGAAACAAATAGCAATGAGACAGTTTCAAACCACTGGGTACATTTTTGACTTTTACTTTTATTTTCATTTGAAATGTTTATTTAATTTTAACTATGAGCCTTTCAAATAGAAAATAATGAGATAGGCACCAATATAAGCACTACACAAACTGAACAGATTCTGACATTTGCTGCAAATCTCTTAAGAAAGTAAAACACTACAAATGGAACCAAACCCCTGCCTTCCATCTCTCCAGCAGTGCCTGTAGTCCCCACGTACATTATGATCAGTTTCTTCCTAGAAAATAAGCCTGTAGACACGAACAATGTAGAGAATTTGACTGTACTTATCTTTTTGCAATTTATCTTTTGAACAGGTAATATATTTAAGTGAATGGTCTCCCTCTCAGGACAGGGGTCATCCCTGGCACTGTTTTCTTGGATGTATTGACAACTGTCTACCCTTCCCACCCCATTCCAACTCAGCAGGGTACATCTGGAATTGTGTGTTTTTACAAAGTCCCACAAAGATTCTTAAGCATAATCCTGATTGAAATCACAATCTTGAACTAATATCAATTTAGCTAGAGGCTCACAGTGTGGCTTGGTGGAAGAATACTTGCCTACCATGGGTCCTGATTCCCAGCACCACAAACAACTCAGCAATATTTTAAAAGACAGCAATAACTATAGCAATAAGATATAATCACTTAAAACTATAGTATGGGTTGGTGAACTACCAGTTACTGCTGCATATATGTATGACTCCAAGGCTAGAATACAGATCCAAGGGACCCTGGCCCTTTAGAGCTCTCTGGTTTCATGTTCTGGACTCCTGACTCCTCCAGAGAGCACAGGGCTTCCCAGCAGGACCTCTGCTCAGCTCCCTACCCTGCAGCCCCAGTAACACACAGCCCTAAGGGGGCACAATGCCAAGGCTTGGTTACTATGGGGCAGTGGGGGCTGTGAGGCTCCTCCACTCCAGCACCAGCAAAGGCAGACCAGGAGAAAACCTTGCCAAGATATTAAGTACCAACAATGGGGGAATAAAGGCTACAAAGATATCAAGAAGCTGGAGATAACATGGGATTTGAGTATGGGCAGATGGCTCATGGTGTGGCACCCTGTGAGCTGGCAATTATACAAATTGTGGCAACAAAAGAAAGAATTCTGGGAATATGGAAGGCCTGCTATAGGCAGGCACCATGGATGTGGGAACATAACAGGAGGGAGAGTGGGGTGAGGGTTACAGCAGTGCAGGCTCTCAGATAGTAGTTAAGTGACAGGTATAATGAGTTCTCAAATCCTACATCTTAGCTGGGGCTGGGTGTGGTGGCACATGCTTGTAATTCCAGTACTCAGGAGGCTGGGGCAGGAGGATCACTATGAGTTCAAGGTGAACTACATAGTGAATTCCAGACCAGCCTGCACAGTCTCTAAATAAATAAAAATAAATATTACACTTCTATTTATTGGCAGTGTCCACAAACAAATCCTTTTAATGGAGTCTGATCCAGAAGAAGGCTTTTGCCTGCCGTGCTGAGAACATGCTGGAGAATGCACGCAGGTTGAGTCTTTCAAAGATACTATGGTCCCTGCAATGAGTTGGCTGCTGGGGCAAATGCCTAGCCTTATTCACTGCCCATCACTCTGGTTCTGGTGGGTGGCACACATGACCTTGCACCATCTGTTTGGAACCCTGCTCCTGGGTTATTTGTACTTAGTGGGATTAGTGCCTCACACTCATTAGAACACTTAGCATAACACCCTGAGGAATGATGACTGCTACTCCCATTTAGTAAATAAGGAAACTAAGAAACCTGACTGCCTGGTCTTATGATCGAACCATGGACTGAGGCCCATAGGCTGGATGCAGACCCCAGTGCTGCCACTTAATAGCTGTGTAATCCTGCAGAACGTCTTTGCCTCTGCACCCCAGACTGTTCATCTGGAAAATGAGGATAAAAATGGCACTGTGTGTCCTGAGGTAGCCACAAGCCTTCATGAGAATGCTATGTGTATCCTTACGGACACTGGAGGAGAGCCTGGCACTGGCAGGTGATCAATGGGGCTCAGCAGCAGGGCCAGTGCTGCTCCAGGGGCACAGAACTGGAGAGGCTGAAGCCGAGCCCAAACCCGGGGTGCTTGTCTGCCTTTGTGAGAACTGATAAAACAGAACATTTTGCCAGGTAAGTTTCAGAATTGGAAACCAAAACTCACAAATCTCTTATATTCAAATAATTTGGCCAACTCATTTCTGAGTTTAAATATGATATAAATATAATACATTAATTCTTGATGTTTCATTTCTTTCCATTAAAGGCCTTGGGGATTTTGCTCTCCCAGTGAGTGCTAAGGAGCATAGGGCACTGCAAGTGCTGGAAACAGTGCAGTCCCTGTGGCTGCCAGCCACGGTAAGCCCACCCAGCCAGGGGGAGACTTGGAACAGGAAAGGAAAGGGCCTCTCGCACTTTCACTTGGCAGACCTAGAGCCCTGAAGTGACAAGAAGCTATTGCTCTTTGACCTTCTGAGTTACAAAGTACCCTAGTGTCCTCTTAAAGAATCACTGGGACAAAGACATCACAAGGAAATTAGAAAATACTTTGAGACAAATAAAAACAAAAACACAATAAACCAGAACATATGGGACTGAAAGCAATGCTTGGAAGAAATTTGTAATTATAAATGTCTACATTCAAATGTCTTAGGTAATAATCTAACTTTATCTTATGTAATTAAAAAAAGAAAAGTCAACTAAGACAAAGAAATAAAAGGAAGCCATAAAGATTAGAGCAGAGATGAAGAAAATAGAGAAAAACCAGAGAGAATCAATAAATAAAAGATCCACAAAGTTGACAAGTCATTAGCTGGAGTGACAAAAAAGAGAACATTCAATAAAATCAGAAACCAAGTGGGAACATTGATAATAACCTTATAGAAGCAACAACAAAAGATTAGGGGAGGATACTATGAATGACTGTACAGCAATGTATTAGATGAAATCATCAAATTCTTCAAAAAGAAAAATCTGAACAGATCTATTAAAAGATATCAAGTCAGTAATTAAAAAAAAAACTCAACAACAGCAACAAAAAGCCTAAGACCAGATGACTTTACTGGTAAATTCTATCAAACATTTAAAGAAAAAATTAACACAAATATATTTGAAATTCCTCCTCAATAAAGAATACTTCCTAACTCATTCTGAGACCAGCCATACCCTAAAATTAAAGATAGGACAAATAAAAGAAAACTTACCAGTATGTGTTATGAATAAAAATATAAAAAATCTTCAATGAATTATTAGGACACTAAGTCTAGAGACATATTAAAAAGAATTATATACCACATGACCCAAACAAAACAATGTACTGGGTACAACTGGGTTCCCAAAAAAGATATATTCAAGTCCTAACCCTTGGTATCTGGATGTGATCTTTCTTGGGAAAAGGTACTTTACATTGGAAGATGAGGTTGTATAGGTTTAAGGGGTTCTTCCAACTACTGTTGTCCTTATAAGAAGAGGGAACTGTAGACACAGAGAAACAAGGGATGCTGAGAGATGTCTCATGATGATGGAGACAGAGCTGAGTGATATACCTGTGAGTCAAGGGACCACTGACATGCTTCAGAAGCTAGAGAGAATGGGTTGAAGAAGTCTTCCTGGACCTTGACTTTGGACTCCACAGTTGTAAGAGCTAGAAAGCAGACTGGTGGTTGCCAGGGGGTGGGGGCAGAGAAAATTGGAGAGGGATTGCTTACTGAGTACAGGGTTTACTTTTTGGGTGTTGAAATGTCCAAATAATGGACAGTGGTGATGAATGCACATCATTGTAAACACTCTGAATGGCATTGAATTGTAATTCTTTAAAATGGTTCATGTGGTAAGTCTTACATGAGTTTTACTACAGCAACTAAAATTGTTACTAAAAAAGGTACTCTGGGCTTGTTTACAATGTTACACAGAATGTCTGATGTTTATATAATACCTATTTGTATGTTAGGAAGTCACACACTGGAGCCAAACTGTGCTCCTCTTCTGGCAGCTTTGTTTATAGTGGAGTTCCTGTGAAGATTCAGCTGAAAATTGCCTGGCATTTTGTGGTAACTACATAAATAACTCACAACAGTTTTCATTTCTAAAAAAAAAAAAAAAAGAAGATTAAATATATTGAAAAACTACGGTTCTGTATAAAAGTGGTGGTGAAGTTTGCAGACAGGCATCACTGGATTAGCTCCCCTGAGACCCAGATCTTATGCTATGAACTTAAGGAAAATGCTATGTATTTTCAAGTTTTGAAATTTTCCTTATTTTTGTTTTTTATAACTCCTGACCTCTGCTGCTTCTGAAGGTAGTACTGACAGTGGGCAACTGTGACAATTACGCCTGAGTCCCAGCAGGCAGCTTTAGGTAGACCACTGAGCCGAAGGAACACGCTTCTACCTCAGTAATGGAGCACTGAGGCTTTGGCCTGCTGTGTTCAGAATAGCTTCTTTGGGCTCACTCTGTGGTCCTCATTTTTTTTCCCTTCATAAAATACTTCTCAAAACACACCAAAACGAGTTAAACAGGGAAACTGCCAGTGACTTCCTTTTAGAAGGCAATCTTGTTGCTGGTGTCCCTTAGTTTGTACTAACATGTCTCAGAAATGTGATTTATGGCTTCTCAAGTATGAGAGAAAGGTAAATATCATGGTCACAACTCAAATATTTTTATTTTTCTGAACCAAAAATATGTTTTTCTCCATTCTAAACTGGAATGATTCCTATAACAAATAAAAAGTCTGCGCTTTCATTCATTAATGTTATTTAAATTCTGTTTTATCAAGAGA